AATAAATAAATAAAATCTTTAAAAAAAAAAAAAAAGAAATATTATGGGTAAGAGAGCTAAAGTGGTTCTCTAGCAGCCCAAATTGCGCACCATGCAATTCCTTTTCCGTTTTCCTCACAGATGATAAAGGAAAAGTCTTTCTTTAGTGTGCATGCACAATGTACCTTTTTAAAAATGTTAAATTACACATCGATTGCATTTGCTATTCAAATGAGCATCCTCTGGTACAGTATTTAGAAATCTTAGCATACATAAAATACCAGGAAGGAGAATTTTTTTTTTTAAGATTTTATTTATTTATTTGACAGAGAGAGAGAGAGAGAGCACAAGCAGGGGGAGTGGCAGGCAGAGGGAGAGGGAGAAGCAGGCTCTCCACCTAGCGGGGAGCCCGATGCGGGACTCGATCTCAGAACCCTGGCATCCTGACCTGAGCCAAAGACAGATGCTCAACCGACTGAGCCACACAGGCACCCTCAGGAAGGGGAATTTAGTAAATACAATTCTTCAAACTTGCCTTAAGTAGTGCTCTTCAGCTCCCCAACTATATAATAAATCTGATTTGTGTACTTTTCTTACAACTTTTTATTTCATGAGCATGCCTAAATCTTCATTTATAGCTCTGTGGGATAAATGGGATCTTAGACCCATTTGGCTCTCTGTTTCTATCACCATTGATTAAAATTACCTGTCCTGTATTTGTTGTGATTACATAAAAAGGTGATTTTTATTATTTATGGAATACTTTGCCCACATATCTGTCATATGCCATTTAGAACCAGTTTCGACTAAAACATAAGCACATTTTTAAGGCCTTCAAAGAAGCTATTCTGCTCATTTCATTTAAATGAAGATAAAGGAGTTTGATCATTATGAAGTAGAATAATTTACATGCAACATGAAGATACGTTGAGCTCTACAGGCTATGATGGGAAAATGAGATCTGGCCACCCATCTGGACACCTGTGACTCATACACTTCACTACATAGTCATTCCTTTGAGGTTTTAAAATGTTAATAAAATGAGCTCTGATTTTGCATTAGCTCCATTATGTGTTACTGTAATTCTTCCATTCATCCTACGGGCAAGTTCATCTCTCCCGCTCCGTATTTTCTCATCTGGTCTCACCAAAAGCCAATCCTGTTCCTGGAAAAAAAGAACACAGAAAGCCTCTCTTTGCCCTCTCTGGATTTTTCTGCTTGAATCAAACCTAATGAGGTTTTGGCAGAGCGTGCATGAGCCGCCTGATTCCTGGTCACCCCTCTCAGTGACTTGAGGCATGCATTTGATGCTTACTGAATAACGTGATGTAAGTCCAAGTTAGCGACACCTCCCATGAGGCTTCCTTTCTACCAGAATTCCAGGGAAGGTAAGCTCCAGAGACATCACATTAGGGAAAAGAGAAGCCAGCTAATCCTGCAGATAGCTGCTCTGCCCTCTCTAGAAGGGAAAGAAAAGAAACTCCCTGCCCTCATGCAGAGGGTTTTTCTCCACTGGCTCAATAGGCAAATATGCTATACTGTACAATAATCCCTTTGAAGTGTGGGATTTTCCAGACCTTTCCTCTCCATCCATGAGATTTGAGCAGTGATGGCAACAAATGCCCAAGGGATGTGGTGGCCCACACCTCCTCTCTACCATCTGCTCTTAGCTTGCTCCCATCACGAACTTGGTGAGAAACATCCCCTGTGCGGTGACAAGACGGAGCAACCTCAGGAAAGCTTTTCGAGACTACGCGGCCAGGTTTGACCCTTGCCGGTGCGCTCCGTGCCCTAATAATGGCCGCGCCACGCTCTCGGGGACCGAGTGTCTGTGTGTTTGCCAGAGCGGCACCTACGGAGACAACTGTGAGAGACGCTCGCCGGACTATAAATCCAGTGAGTATCCGTGACTTCCTGGGGGGAGGCCCCTTTTCCCCTCCAGAAGGTGTTCTAGGTTGGTTGAGGAAAACAAAAGTTTTATTTTCCACCTTATGCAAACTCACAAGGAAAAGAAGCCTGTGAAAAATTAGACTCTAAAGTCAAACAGCCCTGGTGAGAGTGAGGCTCCGCTGTAACCCACCAGCTGTGTGACCCTGGGAAAGTCACCCAACCCCTCTATGCCTCAATCAGTTCATCCATCAAATGGGGACAATGCCAGTATGTACCTGAAGTTTTTATATATAGATATCGATAGAGAGAGAGAGAGAGAGAGAATAGGCAACACAATGCCTGTAACATAACATAAATAAAATAATAAACCATACTATAAAATAAAGTATGTGATACTCTTGTTATAAGTCTCTTCCGTAGTATAATGTAGAATGACGATCTCTTTGTAATTGGAGATAAGTTAAGCCCCCACCAAAGTTTTCATACGGGGTTAAGTAATCTTCATGGCTACCTGTAATCCTGCTCAGAAAGGGGATGTGTCCTGGGGGTAAGAATGTATTCTCTTACATTTAAGAAAGTAATTTGATATATATATTCAGAAGAAGTTCGTCTTTATACATATGTGCACGCATATTTATATATGTGTGTGTGATACGTTGCTGATAGTTGAAAATGATTCATAATTGTTGCCGTTTTATTCAGGCTGTGGGAACAGGAAAGGGAAATCAGGCAAGGTGTCAGGCCCTTGTCACAGGTAATTTCTTTTAATCCTCACAATAGCCCTGTGATATTCCTCAAAGAATCACAAAGCTAAAAAGCAAGGAGACCAAGTCGGCCCGGCTTCACCCCCCTCTCCCGCCCCCACACTCTCTCAGCTGCACCGGGATGGGCGGGGATGCTTCCTGTGTTCCAGATGCGGTGGATGGGAGCTGGAGCTGCTGGTCTTCCTGGAGCACGTGTGATGTTACTTATAGGAGATCCAGAACCCGAGAATGCAACAACCCTGCCCCCCAGCAAGGAGGGAAACCCTGTGAGGGCGAGAAGCGGCAAGAGGAGCACTGCACGTTTTCAATCATGGAGAACGAGTAGGGATGCGTGATGGGGAATGTTTATTTTCTTACTGCTGAGTAAAGAATCAGAATTTTACCTATTCCAACACAGTGTATTAGTGGGGTATTGGTGGATCTGGTGCTACCCATTCCTCTCTAATGTTTTCTCACTTGTATATATATGCATACACATACACATGTAAATGGTTTGTATATACACACACACACACATTTATTACATTATACACACATATTTACTTTTCCCTTTTAGTGGACAGCCATGTGTCAGTGATGATGAAGAAGTGAGAGAAATAGACCTCCCTGAGACAGAATCAGATTCCGGGTGTCCTCGGCCAGTTCCTCCGGAAAATGGATTTATCCGGGTAGGCATCCTGACCTTCACTTCAAGTTTGGAATCCAAAAGATAGAATTTAAAAAGTATGCATTTTCTTTTATTTAAGGTTATTGTTTTCCCAGTTTAATCATCTTCCGTTGACTTAAAAATTAATACTTAAAAACACTCTACCACGCCTCTGTCTTGAATTCCCTGGAGAGGTCTTCACACCTGGTTGTTAGACCAAAGACAGCAGGTTGCCTGCATTTCTTGGCGCTACCGGTTCCTAAGCTAAGGGTCCACTTATGTGAGTGGAAAGTGGAGCTTGGCCACAATATAGTTTCGGATGACTTGTGAGAATCTGAAGATCTGACGGTTTATTTCTGAGTCTGAGCATGTTTTCAGAGAAGCAACCTAGTCACAGGAGGTGTGGAGTTTGTAATGCCTTAGGTTAGAAACCTGTAGAATTCTTAAGCAGTCAGTGTGGTTTTAATACCTTTTAATTTTATCTTTTTTCATTGAGCCACAATGTTTCTATGATTTACAATAACTAAATATGTTTGTCAGACAGGTCAGTGGTTTTAGATATAAATTAGAGACATATAATATTTAAAATTGATCACAGAAGGCAGGCTTCTAATCAATTTTACCTTTAAAAAAAATTTTTTTTAGCGTTCTTTAACTCAGTGAAGCCTTTAAATTAATCTTTTTCAACTCTATTGTATTTATGATCAAAGATCAATAACCCTCAATTCTCCAATGCCAGCAAATTAATATCTATGGAGCACAGTCCGGGCTAATGTCCCTTCCGTATTCGTCTTCTGCCTAAAGATTTTAAGGGGAGGAAATATTTTGGAGTGAGGTAATGTCATTTAGTCCTTAGAACAGAGATTCCCAAACTCTACAGTGCACTGGAGGGCTTGTTAAAACACGGATTGCTGGGTCTCATGCCAGGAGTTTCTGATCCAACAAGTCCTGGGCAGGGTCCGGAAACTGCCCTATCTAACGCGTTCCCAGGTCATACTGTTGCTGCTTGGTCCAGAGCCGCACTGTGGGAAAGAGTCCTTTAGAACAGGGGTCAGCAAACTACGGCCCACAGGCCAAATCTGGCCTGCCATCTGTTTTCCTTTCTTTCCTTCTTTTTTTAACAAAGTCTCATTGGAATACAATCACACTCATTTACTTACGTATTATCTATGGTGGCGGAGGTGAGGGGTCGCAGCTCTGGGCTATGGAGGCCCCTTATAGAGGAGCTGTGCTAGTCCCTGGCCTAGAGCATAATCCTCAAAATCACATTTGGTCAGGCCCAAGTAATTTTTTAACCTGTTTTTGCCGGCAGTTTCACAAAAACTGTTAAAATGATCAACATTCTAATTTTAAAAGCACACGAAGGATTTAAGCAGTGATTCATTATTCGAATGACTCTTTTTTATAAAATTAGATGATCTGTTTCCCTTCCTATGAATAAGTTTACTTTTTGTTCTCTTTTGCTTCTTTATTAAAGACCTAATCTCTACTGACAGTAGTTTTTACTCACAAGTGATACATCTTGGATCTTTCCTAATGAGCACCTTCTGGGATTGCAAGTAGCAAAATACCCCTTGTTCCCAGACCGAGGCAGCTATGCCTCATTCTAGGCTAGAGCAACCGTGTCATTGCCCGGGAAGGTACTTGTCCATCCCTGTTGGCAAGCAACAGTGACTTTAGGTAAAGTTTCCTTGCTCGGTCAGTCTAGCAGATGTGTTGGTGGAGGCATGATGGTTGCAACGTGCACTTACAGGTTACAGCCTCATAAGATAAATAGAAGCAGAAGCTTAGGAACATCATTTATTTGGGGAGGAATGCAAGAAGAAATGGGCAGCCTTTGAATAAAATATCCAAATCGTTAATGCTACTCATTAGTCCATTTCCCTTAGAAACAAAGCCACAGCCATAATAACCAATCGTAGAATAATCTTTCTGTAGTCAGGAAATTAATCATCTTCCAGGAGACAAGCTGAACTGTGTGGCCAAGTAATAACAAAAGTTGACAATCGAGTTTTTTTTTTTCCACCTCCCTCAAAATTTGTGATTTCGGTTCACAGAGAATAACTTCCTAGCCAATTCTTTGCAATTTTCTTCCACTCAGTAAGGAAAAAGACTGTTATATTACTGCCCCCTAAGAAGGATAGTGTTTTGCATTCTTTCAACAGAGTTATTAAGCCTTTGTAAAGATGTGTGAGGCAGAAATCTTCTAGTGGTGGTGCCACTCATGGGTGGGGAATGAAACTGCAGGGTAGCACACATTATAAAAATAGGGCTTTGTACCAGTTTCCCCCAGAACTGAGAGAATGGTGCATCTCAGGAAGCTGGGGAAGTGAAGGTTCTCACAGATGAAATTCTATTTGAGTTGGGTCCTGAGAGAAGGGAAGACAGAAGGTGTGGAGCATAGAGGGAACAACCCGATAAAGACATGATGGCATGAGCGAGAATATTACGTTCAAAGAATGGCAGATGGTTTTGTTCTGTGAGGGGTAGGTTTTACGGGAGCAAATGGTGAGAGGTGAGGATGGTAAAATGGGTTAAATCTAATACTCCACACTAAGAAGTGTGAAACCCATTTTATCTTGAAGATTTTAGTGAACTCCTACGTGACAGTAGTTGTACTTTAATTACACATAACTGGGAAAATATATAATGACCCCTGGGTTACTAGGAATTGAGTAACATTTTTTTTAAATTTTATTATATTATGTTAATTACCATACATTACATCATTAGTTTTTGATGTAGTGTTCCGTGATTCATTGTTTGCGTATAACATCCATTCAATACCTGCCCTCTTTTTTCTTTTTTAAAGATTTTATTTATTTATTTGACAGAGAAAGACACAGCGAGAGAGGGAACACA